AGGAAAGAAGAAAGCAGAGAGGTGCCCCCCGAGAGGCGGGCAGGGTGCTGGGTGCTGCTGGGGGGTGCTGGGCTGGGGAGGGCGAAGGGGATGTGAATATAGGGTGGGGGGCTCCTGGCCCCCTTTTCCAGGGTGCCCCTGGCCCCACAGGTGTTGGGGTGTGGGTGTTGGGTGCTGCCAATGGGAGAGCATCCCCACAGTACCTCGTTTGTGGGAATAAACCCCCCCCACGGGGTGAGTGGGGACCTGTGTGGCCCCCCCCCAATTAGTGGGGTCCCCCAGCACGTTGCCTTGGCTCAGCCCTGCCTCCAGCCCCCCTGCTGGCTCCTCACCACCCCAGCACTGGTTAAACTGGGACTGGCCCCCTGGGTTATGGCTTTGCCCCACTCATTGTGGGAGCAGCCCCCCAGGCTTCACCAGGGGTGCCACGGTGGGGCTGGGGACACTTAGCTCCAATGTCACCTGCCGTGGGGACACTGAGTCCCTAAAGGCTGAGCACCCAGCACCAAACCCCCTCTGAACCCCCACCCTGCCCTAACACCAGTCCCCAGACTGGGCGCTGGGTTCCTGAGCACTGGTGGTGGCACCTTGGTGCTGGGGAGGGTTGGGACTGGCGGGGAAAAGGAGAATTTCCCAGCTTTACCCATTTCTTGCCTGTCTGGGCTCCAACCACTCCCAGGGAGGTGCTGAGCCCGGTGGTGACACTGGCAGGTGACACTGGCCTGCCAAGCCACCATCCCTTGGCGGGGTGGGGTGATGTCCACAGAGTGATGTGTGGCTTTGGGGGAGGGATGACCTGTTGGCCGCCCCGATACCTGCCCCGAGGTGATGGGCTGGCTCCCCCAGAGAGACTGTGCACCCAGTAGAAGGCTGATGGGTGTTGGGGTGGGGGGGTTCATCCTGCACCCCACATCTCCCCCTGTGTGCCCCGGCTGGGCACGGGGGGAGCAGAGAGAGTTGGGGAAAGGAGGGAGAGGTGATGGGGGGGGGGGTTATCCTGCGGAGGGAGGAGAGGAGGGAAGTGAAGGGTGATCCAAGAAAAGCCTACGTACATCCGAGGGCTCCGGGAGCGGGGCGCCGTGGCTGTGGCGGCCGTTCTGGGCGCTGCCCTTGTGCCCGTTCTGGTGCGGCGAGGCCGAGCGGCGGGGCGAGGGGGAGGACGGGCTGCGGCTGGAGCGGGCGCTGCTGCCCTTGGGGACATCCTGCCGGCGCTTGGGGCTTAGCCTGGGGAGGGCACCGCGCCGTCAGACACCAGCAGCCCACCCCACACCCCAGCTCCCGGCACGGCGTCGCCCTTCGCCAGGCTCCGGCAGGACTGACGGACGTGAACCTGGGGTGGGATGGTGGGGCAGGCTGTGCCCATGCAAGAAATGGGGTGGTAATTGGTGTTTTCTGCTCTCTCTAGTTCAAAATTGAAAGCCTGGCCAGGCACCATGCTGCCAACTCCCCCAAGATGCTACAGCACCGTCCTGCTCCCCTTCATCCCTCTGAGGGTCCCCATCTCATAGACATCTCTGCCACCCTGCCCTCCATCCCATCAGGGTCCCCATCACAAGGATACCCCTGCCACCTGCCTCTCCACCCTCCATCCCATCAGGGTCCCTATCACAAGGACACCTCTGCCACCTGCCTCTCCACCCTCCAACCCATTGGGGTCATCCCATCAGGGTCCCCACCACGAGGACACCTCTACCACCTGCCTCTCCACCCTCCATCCCATCAGGGTCCCCATCACGAGGACACCTCTGTCACCTGCCTCTCCACCCTCCACCCCATCAGTGTCACCATCATGAGGACCCCTCTGCCACCTGCCTCTCCACACTCCAACCCATCAGTGTCACCATCATGAGGACACCTCTGCCACCTTCCTCTCCACCCTCCATCCCATCAGGGTCCCCATCACGAGGACACCTCTGTCACCTGCCTCTCCACCTTCCAACCTTTCAGGGTCCCCATCACGAGGACACCTCTGCCACCTGCCTCTCCACACTCCATCTCATCAGGGTCCCCATCATGAGGACACCTCTACCACCTTCCTCTCCACTCTCCATCCCTTCAGGGTACCCATCACGAGGACACCTCTGCCACCTGCCTCTCCAACTTCCAACCTTTCAGGGTCCCCATCACAAGTACACCTCTGCCACCCATCTCCCTGCCCTCCATCCCATCAGGGTCTCCACCCTTGGGATACCTCCGCCACCTTCCTCCTTGCCCTCCATCCCCCAAAGGATCCCCAACATGGGGACACCTCTTCCACTTCTCCCTGACCCCCCCCCCAAAACAGAGGCTGGGGGGACCACTGGTGTTAGGGGTGGGGGTCCCGGGCTGCTCCTACCTGCCGGGGGATTTGGAGCCGCTGTCGTCGGAGGAGAGCGAGGCGCTGTGGGAGCTGCAGGAGCTGCGCCGGTGGGACCGCCAGGCTGGGGACTCGCTGCGGGACCTGCAGAGAGGGCGGCCGGGGGGGCCGAGGGGCAGGCTGAGCTGCCGCAGGGGGGGCAAGCAGGAGGGTACACTGCCCCGCTCCCCCCGCCATCCCGGCCCCTCACCTCTTGCGCTCTTTGTTTTTCTCTTTCCGTTTGTTCTTGGGGCTTCGGGACCTGTGGGAAGAGCCACGGGCTGCAGAGATGGGAGTGGGGCAGCCCCCCCGGGGGGGGGGAGTTTGTGCCCAGTGGGTCCTTCCCCGTGGGCAGAGGGGATGGGGACAGCGGGAGGGCAGGGGACAGGGGGTCTCCGATGGGGGAAGCTTGCAGCCAGTGCTGGTGGCAGTGGGGTGGCTCCCGGCAGCCATCACTCTCACCTGTGTCTTCTCTTCTTCCGTGACCCCGACTCAGACCTGAGGGAGGAAGAGGAGGCAGAGCTGAAGGAGACACGCTGAGCTGGCCAGGCAGAGAACCAAGGCCAGGCAGCTCCAGGGGATGGGGACAAGGGCAGGGGGGTGGCCCTGAGATGTGCTGCTGGATGGGGCAGGTGGCATCTGCTGTGAGGAGGTGATGACCCACGAGGAGCCATCAGCAACCATCCCTATCCATCACTCCATCCCACCCCAGCCCTAGGGCCTGGGCAGCCACCAACCTGCCCCGCTGTCCCCAAACAGCCTACTGTCCCCAAACAGCCCTGCTGTCCCCAAACAGCCCTGCTGTCCCCAACTCGACATGGTGTCCATCCTACCTGTCGCGTCTGTGTTTCTTTCCAGTCTTCTTTTTCTTCTCCTTGCGGATGGGTGAAGAGCTGTCGCAGCTGCGGGGGGGGGAAGGGGGTGTCCTTGAGGGGGGAGCAAGGGAGCCTCCAGCCCCATCGCATGGCCCAGGGGAACCCCATCCCACCTCCCCCAAGCACCCCACTTTCCCTGGACCACCCCTGGGACGCACAGACATTGCGTGGACGTTATTTCCTGGGGGAAATTGGGGTGGGGGGGCAAAAAGGGGCTTTTGGCAGAAGGGCTCCATCTGTCTTTGGTGCTGGGGCTTCCAAATCCCACTGTGTCCCATTGCCACCTCGTGGGCTCCACAGCCTCCAGCAGGACGAGATGGTGCAGCCAATTCCTGGTGGGATTTTGGAGGGGGGGACAGTGGGTGGTGGAGACCAGCCCCTGCCCGATGGCCCTGCACACCCAGTGGGGGACCCCACAGCCCACCCAGCCCGGCGGGCACTCACCTGCGCTCCGAGCCAGGTTTCCTCTTTTTGCTGCCGTGGGGAAGGCAGAGAAGAAAGGGACATTAGGGACAGCATCCCGCCCAGGTGGCCAGCGCTAACCGGGGAGGGGACCAGCGGGTAGACAGAGCCAGACCCTCCGGGGAGCCAAATCCTGCCCTGTGGCAGCCAGCTCCTTCCCAGCACAGACTGGGTAAGATCCCACCCGTGCATGCAGTTGGGTGGGCTGGTGGTGTGTCCCACAGCGTGTGTACACACGCATGTGTGTGTGTGTTGCACCATCTGGGCATGCAGACGCATTGCACCTCTTGGAGGTGCACGATTTGGGGTGCACCGACCCGTGAAGTTGGGGGGGTTCTTGCCCCACGGGAGCCTGGGGAAGGGGGTGAGCCGGGAGGAGAGCTGCCCTCCTGGGAGAGGGCACAGTGCAGGGACAGCCGGGGACTCACCGGCTCCGGCGGTGGCCCGATTTCTTTTTCTTTTTCTTCTTGGGTGGAGGAGAGGTGGAGCTGCTCGAGCGCCTTTTCAGCCTGCGAGGAGAAAGCAGACAGGGTCATGGCGGGGAAGGAACAACCACTTGTGGGGTTGGGTGGTAGGGTGTCTCCTGGCCTCCGTGTCCCCCAGCAAGGGGAACCTGGCAGCTGGGGAGACCCCCCCAGCCTTCTGTACACCTGGACACCCCCTTTCTGTATCCAGCCCGACCTGTACTCGCGGTGGCCGCTGTCCTCGCGGTAGCAGTCGGCCGAGCAGTCGCACTGCAGCAGGCAGCCCTCGCCGTAGTCGGGGTACTCCACCGCGTACTCCTCCCCGTCCGCCCCGTGGTGGTTTTCTATCACGCTGCCAAAGGAGGAAGCACAGGATTAATTCGGGGCTCCCCATTCCCCCTCTCCCACCGCAGTTGCTGAGGTACCCCCAGGAACAGCCCCTCCACCACAGCATCTCCTGGGGGACCTTGGTCACATCACTTGAGGTCCACAAGCAGCAAAGCCCCGTGGTGGGGGTCTTTCTGAGGCTCCTCTCCTTGCAGTAAATCCCCACCCTGGGGTTCAGGTCACCATCTCCCCAGGTTCAGCATCATTTGGAGCCCCTTTTGGCATTGCCCAAGGGGCTGAGCCGGGGGCTGGGGTCAGCCCAGGTGGGTGGTGGGGCTGGATTAGGGTGAGAGGAGCTGGCAGGAGGCTCGGGGGATTCGGGGGATTATCCTCCCGCTGGCGGGAGCTGCCTGGGATGATCCGGGCTTTGAGGCCGGTGGCCCCAGCGTGCTGCCGGCTCAGCACCCGAGCTCCAGGCAGGTGATGGGTGATGTCCCCCCTGGCCCAGGTGAGGTGGGGTGGGGGGACATCAAGCCTGGAGCCATCAGTGTCTCCTCTCCCTCCCGAGTGACTTCGCAGCATTAATTTTTCCCGCTGCCATGGAAACCAGCTGGAGGTTGCCATTGACTACCAGGGCTGCGAGCAGAGGCCTGGCAGCTGGACCTGGCAGACAGGAGGGACCCAGGAGTCCCTGACCAGCCTCCCCCTGCCATCCCCCACCTCCCCGGACCTTCTCTGCCATCAGTGCCAGGAGCTGCATCAAACCCTCCTGTTTGCTCCTGGGGAATGTAGGACATCTCACCCTGGGAGGGACGGGGCCATCCAGGTGTCCTGGAGGGAACCATGATGGATGGGGCCGTGCCTGGGCACCACTTCCCAAAGGAGATTTGCCCTCAGAAACCCAACGTGGGTTCCTCCACCCTTCCCAGCCCAGAGGTGTGTGGCTGGGGAGGCTGGTGAAGAGCAGCCCCCGTGCTACTGGTCCCTTGGTAGCCCTGCCAGCACCTCCAGCCGAGAGAAGGGATGCTCCACATCCCAGATGGCAGATTCTCAGAGTGGCACATGGTTGGCATCGCTGGCCACAGGCAGACCCTGGGCTGTTTAACCCAATTACAATTGGTTGGGACCAAAACGACAAGCGAGGCATCCTCCTCCTGACCACGGGTGATTGCTCAAGCGGATCTTGGGCTCTCTTCTGTGCCACAGCCATGGCTTTCTGGGTCCTCTCCAAGCGACTCCTGCCTTGGCTGCACCCCAAGGGCAGGAAGAGCCTTTCAACCACCCACCCAACCGTGGGAAAGGGGAGAAAAGAGGAAAAGAGAGGAGCGAGAGGAGATAATTCCCTGTTGGACTCTCTGTGCTCCATGCCAGAGCTGGCTGCCAGCATCTCACCCATTAGCTGTGCTCAGCGGCTCAAGACAGGCTTGCGCTGCCCCAATTATCCCTCCCCTCCCAGCACACACTCGCGTTTGCTTCCAGTCCCACCAGCCTGTCCATCAAGCAGTTACTCCTGGGGGACCGGGCTGAGCACGCACAGAGACAGGAGCTGGAAGAGTGCAGAGAGCAAGCCAGGGACTCAGGTGGTCACGGCTCTGCTCGGTGCCTCAGTTTCCCCAGGGGAGCTTTGCAGATGATGCCGAGCTTCCACATCTGCTTTGAAACGAGACCAGCTGGTTCAGGCTCATCGTCCTGGCAGCCAAAGACTGAGCTGTAAAAGTCCAGGGAGGTGCTGGAGCAGGATCAGCCCATGAGATGTTCTCCTGAGCGCTCTCCCAGCCACCCCAAGGGCTGGGGCTCTTTAATTAAAGTTTATTTAACTCCCTTGTCCAGCCTCTTCAACCAGTGCAGACATTTTTACACGCAGGACATCCTCTGGCAGGAACTTCAGCAGCTCAGATCCCCACTGCTTGAAAAGCCACCTCCTTTGGAGCCAGTTCCTTACCAGCCTCCTCCAAGCACCTCCGGCTTTACTCTCCCCGGAGCAATCCTTTGCTTTGAGACTGCTCCTTCCAGCTCAGCATTATTATTTATAGCCCCTGGGCTAATCTTTAATGATTACCCTTCGTTTTTCAAAAGCAAGCCCACAAAGGTGACAGCTAGGGCTGCCTGGGTAACCTTAAAGCACCTTCAGCTTCCCTGTTGTGCTCATTACAGCACCAGCCCTAACGAGCCTGCCCGGGAAGATGCCCTGGAGATGACTCATGCCCCCACAGGCAAAGGCCACTTGTTAACACTTGGGCTTGATGCTCCACACCAGGGTGACCTGGGCAGGTTGGTTTGCCCCATGCCTTGTTTTTTTTCCTGCCTGGAGGAAGACCCTGGATGCTCCGTGTGTCCCCAGGGCCATGAGCCCCATCCTGGGCTGGCCACAGCCCTCCCCGTCCAGCATGCTGGTGGTGTGGTGGGAGGAAGGCTCTCCCCACCGAGGAGGCTTCCCTGCCTCCCCCCTCGCCCTATTTCCTGACCCTAATGAAGCATTAATATTCAGTGAACCTGCAGCATCTATTCCTGTCCCAAGTGACCTGGTTTCCAGGCTGATGGATGGTGCGTGCCGGGCTGGCCATGCTGCCTGGGCCATTAAGCATCACACAGATAAATCATCATCCAGCCAGGGTGGACCCTCGCGAGGCTGGGGACAGTCCTACAGTCCTGCACGGGGCAGGAGGAGCGAGTGGCACATCCCCAGCAGGAGCTGGGCTGCTTTGGACACCTAACCTGAGCCCCAAGCCCCCACCCTGGGCAGAAGCAGCCCCCAGGGACCACACAGCATTGGAAGTGATTTGGAAGCAGAGGTACTAGAGGAGCTCCTTGGAGAAGCTTCTTCCATGGGGGTCCTTAGTGTCACACCACCCTGATGGAGACACAGGCTCTGGGTCTACCCAGGTGAGAAGCAGGCTCAAGTCCTCCTATCCATCCTGGGGCCCTTGCAACAGAAATTATTATTACTCTTATTAATGATTATTATTGCTAACACTAATATTTCAGCAGCCAACCTGCCGAGCCACTGCCAACCGAGCTGAGTTACCCCAGCTTCACACCAGGAGACAGGAGGACTATTCTCTGCATCATGGAGTTAAAAGCAAGACCTGGAAACCAGTACCCTCGCCAGGCTGGAGGCAGAAGCTCTGGGGCTGGAGGATTTCAGCCCTGGGAAGAGCAGAAGAGGTGACCCAAAGAGGCAGGAGCAGGCAGAGGTGAGACACAGCAAACCTGCAGCTTGGTCTCTGCCACCAGCTGGTTGGGAGAGCCAAGCACCGACACTTTCTGCACTTGGGTTTCATCATCTGGGACAGCAGCATTGCAATGCTGGCCTCTCTGGACAGCACCCTGAGGTCTCCAAAAGACCAGCAAGACAACCTCTAACCTCTCCAGAGGTAGGATGCTGCCTCAGAGAGGCAAACTTTGCCTCCAACCAACTGACCAACCAACCAACCATGAAATCAACCAATCCTCCAAGCAATCATCCATCCACCCATCCAACTCCATATACCTTCTCTGTATTCATCCATCTATCCAACCATCCTTATATATACCCTCTCCATATCATTCCAACCACCCACCCACCCATCAATACTTGGAAGCAACCTGGGAAGTGCCTCTCTGGGATGAGAGATGGGTAGGACACACAGAAGGGAGCTGCCTCACTTACATTTGGCGCCCATGCTGGTCCTCCCTGGTGAGCACGCCTTCCTTCTCCATCAGCATTTGCCGAAAGGTCCCCACTTTCTGACGGATCTCCTCTTCGGAGTACCTGGACGGGCAAAGACAGGGTCAGGGCTGCCCCGGATGGAGCATGGGCTCCCCAAGGACCTGATGAAGATGTTCATACCTTTGGGAGCAACACGTGGCCAGAGGGGCCAGTCAGAAGGATGGGTGGCATGATGACAGCCATCAGGGCCTGGAGGAGAGGAGGTCCCTCCACTTGGTCCCCTGCCACCACCCTCTCAGCAGTGCTTGGCAGAGGAATGGACATCAGGAAGGGGTAAAAGAGCAACATCATGACCTTGATGTTGCCATCCTTGCTCTGCTGCCTCAGATTTTGGGCCACGTCCCCACCAAACCCCAGCATCCACATCTCCACCAGTGCCAGCATCACTGCTGGTGACGCCGGGGTTCATGGCTGGTGCCTCCATCCCATCACCATCCTCCCTCACCCGTCCCCGTGCTGCACCAGGGCCCCGGCAGCGGAGCCAGCTCTGCGCTAACACCAAACGCTGACTCAGGCCGCTGCAGGGTTATTAACGGGAGACTCTAATCACTTTGTCCCTGGCATCTGAGAACAGCCGCGGCAAACCACGGTGCTCCAGCCGTCCCCGAGGTGTCCCCAAGGAGGGACGGGTGGCAGCCCTGGGTGGGTGATCCTGTGCCACATCCCATGGCTGCACAAGGGCAACCTGAGCATCCCCCCGGACCAAAAGCATCCAAACGGAAGGATGCAGTGGAGGGACCCGCAGAGCTGTCACCATCCTCCCTGGGGACAGGGCTAAGGGAGAGGGACCCCTTGTCACCACCACGCTGCCACCCTGGGAGGGGTTTGGCCCTGTCCTCACCCACCCCATCTACAGGGGTTGTCACAGCCCTTCCTCACCATGATGTCCCATCAGCATCGCCACTAACGAGCCCAGAAAACTGGGTGTCACAGCCTGGCTGAGCCCCGTGGCACTTGGCAGAACCTGTGCTGGGGATGGTGACACCCCTCACAGCACCACGGGTGTCCCTGGGTGCCCTTGGGTGCAGAGGGGCCCATGGCAGCACCCACCCCCAAAGCTACGGTGCCCATGAAGGGGACCAGCGAGGAGGGGGAAATCAATATTAACAAGCTCATTTGCACTGCAAGGCTCTCATTAATTCCCCAGGACTCTTGTGCAGGAGGAGGGTGGCTCACCAGGCATGGAGGCTGCTTCCCCTTTCCTTGCACCCTGCCTGGGCAGGGGGGGCCCTGAAAAAAAAAAAGGGCTGCACCCCCAAATGTGGCTCTGTACCGCACCATTGGTGGTGGGGCAGCCAGCCAGGCAGAGCGTGGCCATCCCAGAGGATGGAGCCACCAGCCCTGGCCATCCCAGAGGATGGAGCCACCAGCCCTGGCCACCTCATGGCCATCAGCCAGCCGGCGGCAGCGGGAAGATGTCTGTCTGTCTGCCCAAGAAGATGAGCGTTTGCTGCAGCCTATTACCAACCCGCCCGATGCTCTCGGAGAGGGGACACGAGGCCAAACAGGAGGTGACAGATGGGCCACCTCAGCTGGGCTGTTAGCAAATCTACAGGGGGCAAAGCCAAGGTGAGGAACCCCCCTCCTGTCATCCTGGGACAGGGGCAGGAGCATCCCACCAGCCCCTTCCCTCCTGCAACCCTCCGGCGATGCTCATAACCACAATGGAGGGATTTGGGGGTTTGCATTTAATGTATAGAATGGGTTTGAAAGGGAAAAAAAGGGAAAAAAAAAGAGGAAAAAAAGAGGAAAAAAAAAAGGAAAAAAAAGGAGCATCCGGGCACAGCTCAGGCAGGAGGAGCCATCCACATTTCAGGAAACAAGGGGAGCACTTAAATCCCCACAAAACCCCCTCTGCTGTCACACCCCTTCATCCCGAGGGGGTCCTGCCCTTGGTGACAACTCCCCCGAGGCCGGGATGTGGCCCCCAGTCCAGGCAGAAATTTCAGGGGTGCAAAGCTCTTCCCGTGCAACCCCCCCCCCAAATCCCCCCCCCGGGAGAGCCCCGCACGGAGGGGAAAAGCAGGCGGAGGATTAACCAGGTTGACCAAGATTATTACTGTAATTATATTATCATTTCGGTGTATCACCATCATCATCGTTATTAATAGCCCTAATAATAGCGAAGGCAATTACAGCAATAACAACAATACCGATTGCAATATTGCTATTACCCATGGCAGGAATGATCCTACCAGTAGTAAGATCCCCAGTAGGGTGCAGGAACCCGACAGGAGGCTCCGGGCTCCCCAAGGCACCAGGTCAGCCTTATTTATTTCCATAACGACAAATTAGGCACAATCATTATTCCAGTCTGTGTGAGACAATTTAATTCTAGGTCACGCTTGCGCTCTTAATGAAAGCCTTGGCGAAGCCTTCCCTCAATCCATTCTCCTTCTCCCCAGCTGATACCAACCCCACTCCACCCGCCTGTGCCCAAGAATTTGCTCCATCCATCAGGTTTTAGCGAGCTGTCAGGGGGATTGGGCTGTTCGGCTGGTGCTGGAGCTATGGGGCAGCCATGGGTCTGGTGGGGATGGGGTCTCCTGGCTGGTCCCCCAGCCCCTCCTGCCCACCCAGGCAGGGATGCTCTCCAGGGTTTTCCCCCAGCCCTTTCCTTCCCCGGGGCAGAGCAAAGGCTGTGGAGCAGCTCATGGTGCACAGCCAGGGGCACGGCAAGATGGGTTGGGGATCCCCTCACCCCAAAACTTGGAGGAGAGAAGGAAGGCAGGACAAACCGAACCACCAAAACAGCCTCTCCTGGGACGAAACCTCAGCTCTCCTTCATCTCCCCAACACTAGAGACGGAGAAGGACCATCTCCCACCCCAGGAGTGAGGGGCACAGGCTGGGCACTGCTGGTGGCTGCCTCCTTTCTGCCTCCAGTTTCCCAGCATGATGAGCTGGGAGCCCCAGTTCCCAAGCGCAGGGGCTGGACTTAGCTCCCAACGTGTGTGTGGATGCATTCCTAGGTCTGCGTTTCTTGGAGGCATTTAGCTTCAAAAATCAACCCACCAATCCACCCCAAAGCTGCCTGATTCACCCAAATGGGGATTTGCTTCCAACTGGGGACATTTGCCGCATCAAGGTTTGGGATTTTTTTCACTTTCACAAGGTGAAAGTGGGTCAAAAGGATCCCAAGAGATAGGGTCCCTCTCCAGCCCAGCCCCGATCCCCAGCCACTCACCCCTGCTCCTCCATCATCTCCTGCAGCTCCATGCACTTCAGCTCCACCCGCCGCTTGCGCTCGTGGTCCAGGATTTCCCGGTGAGCCTTCTTCACCAGGTTGGGCTCCACCAGACGTACCTCCTCCTCGCCCTTGTGCCACGTCCCCGAGGCGCTGGGCTGCGAGAAGCCATTGGAGGCTTCCTGGGGGGAAGGCACGTCGGCCCCATTGTTGTAGAGATCCATGTTGGCGTGGGCGGCCTCGCCTGGGAAGAGAGAAAGAGCTGGGGGTCAGGCCCTGCCTTGGTTTCCCTCTCAGCAGGTTGATGGGGATGGTGACTGAGAGATCTGGGTCTTCTGCCAGCACCCTTCCTGCCTCTTGCCTCAGTTTCCCCATATGCAAAGCAAGGCTGGGGCTATTCCCATCACCGTGCTCGTGGGAGAGGGGAGGAGGATGCTCTGTGCCAGCCTTGTACCAGGGAAAGCCTGGCAAAGCGTGGGTCTGTGGCACCTGGAGCCATATGTTAGCAGTGGGACAGGTCCCTCTGAGCCCCACGGACACCACTGTCAGCCAGTGCAGGAGGGACAGGCATCTATCTTCACAGCCATCTGGGGACACCCCCAGGCACAGGGGTCCATCCAGCAAGGGGATGGACCCAAAGACCTCAGGCATGCCCTGGCATCCCCCAGCTGCACTGTCTGGTGAGGACGCAGCCATGGGAGGGGACATCCTGACGTCTGGTCCAGCCAGCAAACTCCTGCCGATGCCCTCTAGCATCCACCGGCAACGCAAGGGGAGGAGAGGCTGCTCCCCGCCTGCCTTCTCCCTGCTCTTTCACCTTCACGTGTCCCTGCCTCCTTCTTCCACCACCACAGTCAACGTGTCCTCACTTGGCTCCAAAAATAACCTCTCAGAAGAGGACAAGCGTTCCCGAGCGGCTCTGGCGCACCGAGGCTCCGGCTGATGCTCCCCGAGCCTGGGGCAAGAGATGCTCCCAAATCTCCTGGATCATCCGGACAGACGCAACACCGTCTCGGTGACCTCAGGAGCACCCATTCCTCGGTCTCCCCATCCCACGATGCCCCACCTCCCCTGCCCAAAACACCATCCCTCTCCCCAGCATGGGATGCTCCCACTGGAAATCTGCTGCCTTAATTACCGGCGGCAGCCAGGCTGCGGAGGCACCGCCTGGGCTTTACCAGCTTCTCCTGCAAAGCCCTTCACAAAGAGAAATGATGCTCTCCAAGCTGGCTTTGGGCTTGGAGACACAGCTTTTGTCAGCAGCTGCTTCTCCAGGGTGTTCCCATCTCAGGGAACCTGATGGAGAGGCTTTTCCAAGGATGGGTGTTGCCCGCACGTTGTTGCCCAGGTTGGAAGCTGCCAACCCTTGCCCACAGTGCCTGGGGTGTCTGACACACGCTGCCCAAGGAGGAGAGGGCCAAATGCTGGCCTGGGGAAGGAGGGATCCCTCAGCTCAGCTTGGGCGTTAAGGTAGGACAGATGGACCAGGGTACAGCAGAAGCTACAAAGATGATGAGGGGCCTGGAGCATCTCCCTTATGAGGAGAGGCTGAGGGACAGGGAAGGGAGGAGATGGAGAGGAGATGGAGAGGAGATGGAGAGGAGATGGAGAGGAGATGGAGAGGAGATGGAGAGGAGATGGAGAGGAGATGGAGAGGAGACTGAGGGGGTATCTGATCAATGCTTATAAATACTTAAAGGGAGGGTATCAAGAAGATGGGGCCAGTCTTTTGTCAGTGGTGCCCAGGGACAGGACAAGAGGAAACAGGCACAAACTTGAGTATAAGAAGTTCCACCTAAACGTGAGGAGGAACTTCTTTACTTTGAGGGTGGCAGAGCCCTGGAAGAGGCTGCCCAGGGAGGTGGTGGAGTCCCCATCTCTGGAGACACTCAAACCCACCTGGACACGTTCCTGTGAGACCTGCTCTGGGTGGACCTGCTCTGGCAGGGGGGTTGACTAGATGATCTCCAGAGGTCCCTTCCAACCCCTTGTGATTCTGTGATTCTGTTTTGAGCCCAGGGAGGGCTCCCCACTCCCACTGTGCCATTCCAGGGGGATGTCAGGCAGTTCAGAGCTTTCCATATGGCCAAGCCAGGTGGGACAGAGCCAGGGTGGGAACACAGATCACCCATGGGGAGCTTTGAGGATGTTTCTCTGCTGTTTGAACAGAGGAAAAAACTCAGAGCCCTCCCTGGGGTGGCGGGGGTCCCAGCCTGGCAGGAAGACATCTCAAACCCTGTGGCATCCCCAAGGGACATCCCCGGCTTTCCCACTGCCACTGGCTACCCCACACACTCAATTATCTCCTGACGAGCCTGCCCAGGGAGGACAGCAGCTGACTGCTTAATTACAAGGCTTTTATATTCCTTTTTCTTTTTTTTTCCCCCATTATTACCATGCAGAGAGGAGCCAGCATCCTTTATTTCCGCAGGGACACGGGCAGCAGGAGATGTTGCCTGTGGAGCAGGAGCCAGCCAGGGCTCTGCACCCCGTGGATGCTCAGCCCCGTTAGAGCAACCAGAGGGTCCCTCAGCTCCCCCCTTTCCTGCAGCAGCCACATTTGGAGCCCCATGACACCCTAGAACAAGAAGCTGCCCCACTCAGCCCTCCCTGCCCAGGGGGGACCCCTGATCTCAGCCCCCTCCATGTCCCCAGGGAGCCCCCAGACAGGAGAGATGCTGCGGAAAAGCCTGGTTTGAGGGCTCCTCTTTCTCCCATCGGGGCATGAAGCCAAAAGCTGGGAAGACAATTTGGGAATGGGGGGAGCTCCCCACGGGGAAGCCTTCACCCACTGAGGGGCTCAGGGAAGGAGAGGGGGAAGGAGAGGATGCTTTTCCACAGCAGCCTCAGCTTGCTTTTCCCCAGTGGGAATTAATTTTCTCCTGAGCATGGCAGCGGGTAAATTCATTGCTGTGAAACCTTGAGAGCATGTGGGAAATACAGGAGGGCAGGTAGATGGAGGAGCACGTGAGATAAACGGGCAGCTGGGAAAGGGCTGCATGGGGGGGGGAGGTGTGTAGATCCCACCGGGAAACATCCCCATCTCCGTAAAAGGGATGCGGTTGGAGATAGAGATAGCCCTCTTCCACTCAAGTGGAGCTGACCCAGGGATGGACACGAGACTCTTCTGGTGTCCCCTCAGCTGTGAGAGCTGACACCAGCCACCCCGCCTCAGCCACGGCGCAGACAGGAAAACAAAGGAAGAGAAAAACCACCCGCAACCCCCCTCCCGCTATCAATAGCAAAGCCCTGGGTGGAAAACAGAGCCAGTCCTACATCTCTGGTGACATTGGGGACAAGCCTCCCTGACCCTCAGCCTGGGTCTGTGCCCTCCCTGTCCCCAAAGGAGACCCCCTGTGATGCCCTACACCCTGACAGCCCTGCACTCGCAAGGGACAGCTCGGGGACACAGGGTGGCCGTCACCTCCACAACCTCCATCCATCGGCCACCATGAGGGGACCGCCCGGCTCTGCCACCTCGCGCTGGCACCAAACCCGGCACCAAACCCATCAGTGATGGCAACACAGCACTGCCCGACCGACAGAGGCTTCCTGCCTGGCTCAGTGCTACCCCCGATAATAGAGATGATGGTTAAATATTTCATTATCTGCAGTAATTACCCACAAATCATCAAGCCCTGACAGCCCGCTGCCCGGCCACCTTGCCGAGAGGGAGAGGAGGCGTCTCGGGGCGAGCACTGCGCCGTGTCCCCACAGACTCCTAAAGGCTGCAGGATGGGGCTGGGGACAGTCGCTGGCATCCATCCCCACCACCCGAATCCCAGCAGCACCCCCCAGGAGGGCTCAGCCCCCCCAGTACGACAGGCTGGAACTACTGGGAAAACTCTCAAGCAAATCCCTCTCTTCCTGTTGTGCCGAGCCATTCCACCACGTGTTTTGGGATCCTGATCTTCCTCAGTGGTCCCACTGCCACCGTGGGACTTTTCAGCTCACAGGTGCTTTCTGCTTCCTGGATTAGAGCTTTTGGAAATGTTCAGAGCTGCCCTATTCCCATGCTCCATCCCCATCCTCCATCTCCAACCTCCATCCTCATGCCCATCCTCTATCTCCAACCTCCATCTTTATTCTCCATCTTCCTCTATCTCCCCCCTTCCTCCATCTCCATCCTCCATCATCATCCCCATCCTCCATCTTCCTCCTCCATCCCCAACCTCCATCCTTATTTTCCATCTTCCTCTTATTCCCCATACCTCCATCTCCATCATCATCCCCATCCTCCACCTTCCTCCTCCATCCCCATCCCACGCCTTACCCCAAGCAGAGGGGAGGACCCTGGCATCACCTTTGCCAGCCCGGTGGGGGCCAGGACAGACAGAAGGACAGACACACAGCACTGTGCCCCTGTCACACAGCCAGCACAGACCCCACCAGTGTGGGGTGCAAGGACCAGCATGGCCATCCTGCTGGGCTTTGGGGCTGCTGGTTTCCAGCCAAGCTTTGCACTGAGTTCCCTCCCTGCGGGTTGGGACCCCCAGATACCCCCCAGGACACAGCTGTCCCCATGTCCCAGCCTGGGCATTGAAGGGAAGCTGAGGGGTTCAGGACCTCCAGCCCAAAGGGAAAGAAGAAAACAAGGAAAAGGAGTAAAAGAAGTGTTATTTCACCAAATTGCTTTTACCCTTTTATTTTCCAGCCCAGAAACGAGCCCATTGCTGGCTCGCTCTGCTTAAATCCCCCCACAGGCACTGCTGGGCTCTCTGTCCATGCCCACGGCACCCCCTGGAGAGCTGCCCATCACTCCTGCCCATCACCTCCTGCCCATCACCTCCTGCCCGCTGCCGCCGCAGGGCCCCGCCGCGCCGTAATGCGGATGAAGCCGTTTTCCCAGTGGGAATGGGACGGCAGTGGGGGGTTTGGCAGTGCCTGGCTGCTCTCCCAGCATCACCCCCCCCTCCTCGGCAGAGAAAGGCAGCAGCGGTGCCTGGGCATCCTTCCCCCCCTCCAACCTCAGCTCTAATTAAAGCCGCCTCCGGCCGGTGCTCAATTAATTCTCACCACATCCAGCTGCACCAGCCAGGGCAACGGTGAGCGCCCGTGTGCCGGGGATGCGGGCACGGGATGCGGGCAGCGAGCCCAGGGAGGCAGCTCCAAGGACCACTCATGCATCGAGCGTGCCAGGGCTCAGCCCCAACAAACAGGGGGACAACTCCAGCCCCACGGGAGGGGTTTAGAAGGGTGGCCCTTGTGGTTCCCCTGCCTGTCGGGGTCTCATCAGGGC